ACGACGGAACTGTCATTTTCGTATTTCACACAATCCTATACTCGTGGTTATTTGGCGTATTGTTGCCGCTTTTGTTCAGGTATGACACTTTGGCGTTAGCGCTTCACATCGAAATTCGTGCTCCCTTATTTTCATTTTGACGCATTTCAATGCCGATTCTTTTATTTTTAATGGGCTCGCATTTTGTTTTCGCTCAATTTATTTTGTAAACCTTCTGAAAAGAGAGAAAAATGGGTTTTTTTATTACTTTATTTAATAGTACGGTTTTTTAGCTTCCAAAATAGAAAATAAGAAGCTGCTAATTTTTTCCACACTTTGAATAATGATAATGCATAAACTCGGTGACAGGTAATAAGATCAACGGAAATAAGGTCAATTGACTTTATTTCCCACCCTGGTGCGAAATAAAGTCAATTGACATTATTACCTTTTTAAGTGCGAAATAAAATCCATTGACGTTATTGCTCTTTTAAACATTAAATTTGCAATGCGCGCGCCGCGCTCGCGCCTCGCGTACCCCGCGCGACCAGCGAGCACACCACGTCATGCTACGCCGCGGCCCCCGGCCCCCTTCCCTGTCTCCCGCCGTGCTGTAACGCAGGTAGATTTATTTTTTGTATATTTTAAACATCGAGGGCTTATATTCAATAATACTCTCTATCTGCACACTTTTCACAAAGATGAGATTCTGATATAAAATACACCTAAGCTTTAACTGTTATCGGTGATATTAATGCTGCCTTATATAACGCTTGACAGCAGAATTTACACTATTATAAATTGGAAATTTGAGGTTATGTCACTGATGACAGGTTATAAGTACCAAATGGTTTCTAAAATCACAAATTAGTTTTTGTATAAATTGCTGATAGAGGGTATTAATGAATTTAAGCCTCGATATTGCACATATTTATAGTTGTAAGTTATTGGAAGATTTCTGCTATGTTTTGGCAACAACTTGTCTGCAATAAAAAAGCATATAATTTGTGTTTCAAAAGTGTGTGAAAACCAATCAATTAATTTACATGATCTCGGTTACGATATTAAAAAATCAATAATTGTTTGCACCCGCATTTTGGCACATTGGCTTGAATGTGCCATCTAATAAATAGTGTCGTTGTTGTTGTTGTAGCGGCTACAACAACCCCACCCAGGACGGTTGGTATCTCAGTCGTTGTCGTCACGTCGCGTGCAGCTTCTGTGGGGTTTGTCCACAAGGACAAGGCCGTTAGGGTTGTCGGGTTTTCCGGGCATGCGAAGAGATGTTTCGAGTCATGTGGGGTCTCTCCGCATGCCGGATACTCATTCGGCACATCCTCATTCAACCTACTCAGGTAGGAGTTTAACCTACTGCAGTAGCCGGAGCGAAGTTGTGCAAGTGTTGTGCGAGTCTCCCGAGGCAGTTGAAGCTCCGTGTCGTCTATGTCCGGGGTGGTATGCCTAGAACGGCATTCACAGGCCTAGAGTCTACATAACTCGAGCCTGAGTCCCTGTGAATGCCGTTCAGGGCCTGTCGGTAAGCTCTCGGGTCGGTGCTTGATGAACCTCTGGACTTCGTCTGTCAGTTCATATAGATGCCTCCTGACGTGCCTAAATAGTGTCGTCGTTCGCCTTGCTTTTAAGTGATGTCACAAATTGCTGGCGGAGACATGAATACAGTGTAAGAAAAGTCCTTTTCTATAATTGTTTCCTTATAGAAAGGTTGGTTTCTTTTCCGTTCAAAATATGCTAATTTAAAACACAGAATTCTTTCAGTGTTCCTCCGGGGTTTTTGGACGCGGACAGTTTCTTCAATTTAATAGTGTTCGCTTTATTTTTGTGGAAACGAAACATGTTTTTCAAATATTTCTCGTATTCCAGCTGTGCCTTGCGTTTGTTTTTTGTCATCGTGTTTTTACATATTCGTAATTTAATTTTTTTTAATAAAATCAATTGGTGGTAGTTCTTGCGTTCTTGCTTGTGTGTGGATTAATATCACCACACTGAGGATTTGGCAATAACCTTTGTCAACTATTAAAAAACAACACTTACGGGACAATGTTTATTGTAAGAACAACATTTTTTTCTATGAATCGACATACTTTAAGCATTGTAGACGCAATTTCCATTTGAATGAGGAAATAGCGTCAATGACTTTATTTCCAATTTTTTTTTACTTTATTTCGCTTTTGAAAAGGTAATAATGTCAATTGACTTTATTTCGCACCAGGGTGGGAAATAAAGTCAATTGACCTTATTTCCGTTGATCTTGTTACCCATATGTCACCCATAAAATCATCTTTTGATTTCTTGTCAGTGCCATCAGATACGCACGAATCGTTCGATTTTCAAAAACGGGCTGTCAGATTAAAAAGCTTGACCTGTAGATTTAAAATAAAGGCTTACTTTTTTTAAAGCTGCCACCTGTTAAAAAATTATACTCAAATTATTTAATAAGTTAAATGAATTATTAAAATGTTGGTATCAATCGAAATGGATGTGAAAAGGGTTTATTTCTTAACTACATTATTACTTTATTTAATAGTACGGTTTTTTTAGCTTCCAAAATATAAAATAAAAAGCTGCTCATTTTTTCCACTTTTTGAATAATGCTAATGCATAAAATCATCTTTTCATTTCTTGTCAGTGCCATCAGATACGCACGAATCGTTCGATTTTCAAAAACGGGGTGTCACATTAAAAAGCTAGACCTGTAGATTTAAAATAAAGGCTTACTTTTTTAATAAGTTGAATGAATTATTAAAATATTGGTATCAATCGAAATGGGTGTGAAAAGGGTTTATTTCTTAACTATATGCAGCAGGGTTGCCACCTGTCTAAACATTAATTCCATTTGAATTAAGGGAATTAGGTAATTGAAATATGTAGGTATCACCATATGCGAGTCAGAGGTTTAAGAAGGTTACAGCTTACAAATATTTTGAAGAGGATTGCCACCAGTGTGTAAAGTCAAATTTAAACTAAAATAATAATTGCCTCAAACCAAAGGTTTACGACATCGTATTTGTTATTTTATAACAAATACATACATTGTTAATCAGTGATTTGTTCTGATTACATTCCTTTTAAGTTACTGGACTCTTAAATTAACCCAGGAATGTTTTTAATCTTCACTTATTTCTTGGTAAATATGTATATCCAATTTTTTCTTGTGTCTGATATCCATATTGATATACATATTTCAGTTACCTTATTCCCTTAATTAAACCGAATTTGCGTTTTTAAACATGTGGCAACGTTTCTACGTATGATGGTCACTTATAGTTATTTTCTGTAAAGTCATTCGTATGAGAAAATGTTAACAAAAAAACGGAAAAAAAGAAAAGAGAAGAAGTCATAATTTTACAAAGATTTTTCTAGATTTGCATAGCAATTGAAAGTCCCCTTATTCAGTAAAAAAAATTAAACTGTTGGTTGTAGCGATTTAAAGATATTAGTAAACTTTCGCGCTGGCGACTATTTGTATAAAAGCTTTTGTAGTAATAGTGGAAATGTTTAAGGTTAATTTTCCAAGTTTTGAAATGTAAAAATCTTTTCTGCTTTATGTTTAATCAGCTGAATTATGTGAAGTGATGTTACCTGGCGTTGCGTTACTAAAATCTCCATTGAAAAAGTTTTATTAATATTTTTCTTGAACAAATTTTTAACGGGAAGAAAACATGCATTTTATGTCGAACGTACTTTTTATTTTGACATCAGCGCCACCAGCGCAAATATTTGTCCTATTATGTTTCAACTAACGTACGCAAATGTGAAACAAACCAGAGCATAAATACGGTTTTTCAAAATATCTCGACCCTGGCGCCACCTAACGGGACCGTTTTTGGCAAAAATGTTTCTGCTTACATAACCAGGATATATTATAAAAAGCAGCCAAATCGGCCTATAAATAAGTTAGATATAGGACTTTTATTTTTTTTTTTAACGGTAGACTTTTCGCTGGATTCGCCCAAATTGTATTTAATTATTGATATAATTCATCACGATTCACAGAGAAGTCTCATGATGTGTTATTTACTAATGGTGATTCTACCAAAAAATGTTGCCCTTAATAATAATAATAATAATAGATTGGCGCTTACACATATGTTAGTGTTTGGCCGAGCTTCTCCGCCGACTTGTGGTGTGCGCCTTGATGTTGTCACACAAAGCGGAGGGACCTACAGTTTTACGCCGACTCTGAACGGCGATTGTATTTTAATGAGAAGCTGCTTTTCATGGCAGAAATGCACTCGGAGGTAGGGACGACCGCTGTTAAGAAAAAACCTCTTTCTATATTTTTTGCGATGTTGCACTTGGCCGGTGCAAAATGTGTTTGATGTTACACTCAATCCTTTGAAAAGGCATGTTTTTGCCTTCTTGTCCTTCTCCAGGCCACATATTTCATCATATTATCGTCTTAAGCAGCCATCTGACTTTCAAGGCAACCATCTCCCATGACAAAGCTTCAAAAGGCATAAAAGGTGCCTTTTTTGCCTTACAAGAGTGTGGAATTTTAAGAAATTAACAGAAAATTTGCTCACACTTTGCCTTTAATTTAATATTAATATTAAATATTAAGGAACAAAATAATATTAAGGAACAAAAGTGACAGCGGTCAAAATAGTAGCAGCCCAACAATATTTCGATAATAATTTGTTTTATTTAATTTTAATTTTGTTTTTATAAAAGAATTGTTCGTTCTTTAACAAAAACCATATAAATCCAAGTTTCAATCTTTGTGCAAAATTTAAAAAGCTTGAAATTTTGATGAAAATTTGTTGTATTGTTTTAAATTTTGAACAAAGTTTGAAATCTGGATTTCTATTGTTTTTGTTAAAGAACGAAAAATTATTGTCGAAATATGTACACTTGTTAAAACATTTGCTAAAGTGCTTACATAGCTTTTGGTGTTGGATTCGTCTATATCTTCAACCAATTCTTTGAGCGTGTCGCCGTCTTTTATGGGGAATACACCCGATATGGTTGAGCTCTCTGTTTCTTGATTTAATAGCTTTTTAATAAGAACATTTTGTTCAGCCAATGCTTCCATCACAACTGTATTTTGATGAGTGGTCGAATCTGAAAAATCTGAAAAAAATGTAGTTTTAATTTTTTCATATCATAAAAATCTAAAAAGTGCATACTACTTTTTAGTTCCTCTGTTACGAATGAATGAAGTTGAGATATTGAATCTGAAAATATAGAAGTAAAAGTTTTTTTTTTTAATATTCTCACAAGGGTTTATATACATACATACCTTTTATTTCCTGAAATTTTCTCATCTATTTATGTTTCAAATATTTCTTCCAGTCTCACGCAATTCTCACACCGGTTTTCATCTGCACAAAAATAATGAATTTGTAATAAAAGTACATTTTAATTTTCAATATTTACCTTTTGTTTCCACGTTTGTCTTCGTGCGTTTAACGTACTTTGATGGCCGTTTTTCCATTTTTGAGGGTCCGCTTATAAATAAATAAATTATAATGCTTAGTTATTTGTACATTTAAATAAATACTAAATTTTTATTGAGTTCAAAAGCAGCCTGGTAAGATTGGAATCAAGACAATTTTATCCTGGTGAGGTAAACCTATGCACTTACATCTGATTTGGGATAGAAGAAAACTTTCGTCTATGCTGCTGCGATTTAAATTGATCAAACATATTCCTAAATATTTTAATGAATCTATAGGTTCCTCAAGAAACGCCGTTGGATTTAAAAGTCGCTTTCCTATTACAAGTTTTTTTTCTTTATTGAAAGCTGCTATATGGAAGGGTATATTAGGCTCGATAAAACAATAGTTGTCGGGAAAATCGACGCTAAAAATATATTCCGACGTGACAAACTTTATTCGATTTTTTTCTTCTAAAAATCCTTCTTGTTGAGTTTGTATATTAGGCTTTTCGCGGGAAACGTTGGTGTAAATTTGTTGCAGTATATGTGCGGGTTTTTTAACGTAACTTTTTAAAATTTGCAAGTAATTTTCAAAGTTGTAAGCTGAAAAATTTTGCAAAATTCCGAATTGTTATGCACAGTCTGTGAGATGCAAAAGGCTGTGTAGATTAAAACTTACGCTATTTTCCTTGAACACTTCTGGAAAATTTTTGCACAAACAGCTTCAGCATATCCTGACAAAGTTTTATATTTCGCTCGTAGCTTTTTGGGCATGATAATAATCTGCATGAGTAGTGCAGTAGGAGAAATTCATAATAAAGCTCATTATGAATGCTTCCTTTTAGTACTAAAATACCCGTATAGAGGAAAAATTGCCGAAATTCCGTGTTTTAGTGAGTTTTAGCCGCCTTTTCTTAAAATCTTCAACGGAAATCAGTGGGCCGGAATCTATACTGTTAGTTAAAACGTGATCAATTTGTTTCGCTACTTGCGTACATTTGGAACAACCGTAAGAGGATGTGTGCCCAACTGTGCCACATATAAATGAAGTAGCTGGGGCATCGCAACCCCAGCTCTTAATGTAAGGCGAACTGTTTTGTTTTCAATGCAAATTCCAGTTTGTGATAGGCGAGTCATTTCTTCAACAAAATCAAGTAATAAACGTCTAAATCACTCGGCTTTTGCTTTCCAATATATTCTCCAATGGGTAATATAGAAGTTATCTTAGAGTTAACGATTCTAATCAAAATGGGCCATAGCTGAACCCTGGAGCTTCTAAATAGGGGTATTCCATCCACATTAATGTCGAAAACTATTTCATCGCTTCGGAAAACTAATTAGACATAGACATTAACTGATTTTCAATACCAAAGTGGGAATAGAATCCTGGAGGTACACATCTAATAGTAAAGTTCGGCAAGAATTCCAAGCAAATCATTGCAACCCTCTCTACCAGGTCTGTACTTTAGTGCCCAATCTTTTAATTTACACTTTAAATCTTTTGTACACAAACTACTAACCGGCTCCTCATCTGGTACGAAATTTTCACTTGATTGCAAATTTGACTCCCGCACAAGCGCTTTTGCGTACGAAAACGCCAAAACATGAAAATTTGTAAAAACTTTTACTGGATTTTACTGGAAATGAGTAAACAAACGTAACTAATTACTATTTTGATTTCTCGTTTTCGATAAAATGCGTCACTTACTCATCAGCTGTTTTAGAGTGTTGCGCAAACAAATGGTTTATTTGCAACGCCGAACATTGAAATTTTGTATATACCAAATTCAAGTTCTGCGCTTGATTGTTACGACGTCGTTTTTTTATCACGCTGACGTCGTACTTCTGATGGTCAGTCGGCTTTTTTCGCAATTCTTTATAGGAATTGGATATTGGCATTCATTGAACATTTTTGCTGTAAACCTGTGTAATTAAAGGTTTGTTCACTAGTGACATTCGAGTTTTGACACTCCCTTAACTCCCTTACAAAAGCTTTGCCTTGCTAAGGGAGACGATTTTGTCAAGAGGGAGCGACAAAACTGGTTTCTGAGCAAATTGAATCATGGAAAATATTAAATTTTGCTTTTATTCCCCAGTAGAACTTGGGAGCATCCTAGGAGGGGGAGTAATCCCTTTTACCTCCTAAACGAGCAATCGGGGAGTACACACAGAATTATCGTCCCACAAACCTTCTAATGGAGCAATACGGGAATACTCCCATAGTTACCTCCCAAAAAGACAACAACGGAGTGCACATAGAAAACATCCCACATTCCTCCCGAACGAGTAGTAAGGGAGTACTGTCATAAGAGTCATCCCGGAAGCCTCCTGTACGAGTAATAAAAGATCGTCTATACTCCCGAATGCCTCCTTATTAAGTAATGGAAGCCTACTCCCACATTGCTCCATAACGAACATTTTACATAAGCTAAAAAGATTTTGCTTTTTACGCAATTCATTCATTTAATTTTTTAATCATATATACATACATACTTATGCACATAAATACAAGATTTAAGCTGATTATTACAAAAACAGAAAAAACAAATAATACATATTACATTATTGACTAAAATTAGAATGACAAATTCAAACATTATACATACATACATACATATATACTTTTCGTGCCGTTTTACCCTTAGCACCTGTTACCAACACTATATGCCCCTAACCCCTCTACTTACCAGAACGCCTCTTATGTCGGCCAGAAATCCGCTACTGGTGTCGGCGGAGTCTTTACGTACAAGGAAAGGGTATTCCTGGTGCTCGAGTGTACCTTACTCCCCGGATGAAGCCTTAGGCCCTTATTATGAGCTGCATTCGATTTTCGATCTTCGCTGGCTATCGAAGATCGAAAGTGAAATTCGTATTATGAGCTATGCAAGCGTGTCGAAATTTTCGTTGAGTATCGAATTTTCTGTCGAACAGAATTTTGCTTTCGATGGTGTTGCGAAGTGTTAGAAAATTGTGAAAAATGTATGATTTTGTATATGTTTTCTTACATTTTGGCGGCTAGACACTTATTTTAAACAATTTTTATTAATTTCATGCAGTTCCAACATCGTGAATACTAAACACAAACTCGAAAGGCTGGTTTTACTTGTGAAAGAAAATCCCAATACTCTGTTGGCGCGATCTCTGAGAACAAAATCGTAGCGCTGTTGATAGTTTTAAAATATTTTAAATAGATTTGGCTCACAAACACTTCTTTAGATGGTAGGAACTTTTTAATGAATCTGTAGACAAATTTCTTAAATATATTTTATATCAAAATATATTCGAAAGACTAATAAACTTAAACTCTCTTAAACATTTGCTACTCCTGGCCAGTTTACTTAGCTCTCATCCTCCGACGAATCGTTGACCAGAACTCCGTTGTACCCATTTTACTACGTTTTTATAAACTTGCTTTTTTACTTCATTTTAATTAGAACAAATTTACATAAATATGTATAAGCACACTATTTGGTTTGCTCGATTTGTAAACAAAGCTTCTCAGCGGTGAAAAATATACTATTGTGAACAACCTAAACGAGCGAAATTCACAATAGCGCTATTCTTCATCGAATGAGCGCCATAATACCAAATGAAAATTCTTTCGCTCAGCACTTTCGACCACAGTCGAAAATCGAATGCAACTCATAATAGGGGCCTTAGTTAGTTGCGGCCGCTGCTGCTGTTGTTTCACGTAAACCGCCTCCTCTGGCGAAAATCAGTAGCCTCGTGGCTGTTAGCTGTGGGTTGGCGTTATATAAATTCAATAGAGTTAATTTACACTCGCGCAACTACTTTCGCTTGTAAAACTTGCAAAAACGACTTCAATTTCTTTAAGTTAAATTTAATTATATTTTATTTCCGTTTTTCGTTGCGTGATACAACCTTACCAAATTAATGTCTATATCGGAATGACTCTTCATTCGTTTTTTCACTCGGGTTATGTACCTGTGGAACGTATGTTCCATCAGGGCTACCAACATTACGACAGCGCTGAATAGTGCTGCCGTATTGTTAGCGATGCCATTACATCACCCTCCTTGAGAAAAGATTTTTGCAAGGTGATCACGCTTGCAAGAATCGTTCGATTCAAGGGCAATGCAAAATTGATAGGGAGGAACGAGATATTTATTAATAATATTGTAAGTATGTTTCCTTCCCCTTTTAACTCGTTCGTCCATATCGACTTTCGGCTGTAATAAAGAGTTCAAAACGTATTTTAAATAATTGACCACATTATTATATCTACTTAGCTAATTGCGTTAATTTTAAAATATCAATTTTATATTAAAGAGTATAATTAAGTAGTAGTTAAATAATTTTTTGATTTGCTAATCGTGTACAATATATGAATTTGTAATTTTGTAAATATGAAATTACATAACTATATGTTTAAAAATTAATACAGATTAAATTTTTTGACTTGTGTTAAATTAATGCCATATGAAAATACTTATGTGTATAGTGTATTAAGCCAAAATTTGAAAGTATACATACATCTAAATATACTTTATTTTTGAGTATTATTCATTTCAAATAAAAGATTTTTCTTTCAAAATAGGTTTACATGGCAATTCATGAGTTATTTCGCATTGTACACATGTATATATTTTAACTAGTTATACAGAGTAATTCGAACAATAATAATAGTTTGTATATACAGTGAAACCTCCCTTGGGCGGACACTCACCGTCAGTCATTTTTTGTCCGCCCAAGAGAGGTGTCCGCTCAATGGAAGGGAAGCTTATTTTAGAATTTTTTAATGTTTTAATTAATTGAATAGTCACTATTTCTTATTTAAATAAAGGTATTGATATTACATCGTTCAAACAGAAATGTGCATGTATTTTTTCAAAAGTGCATATTTCATTTATGTGCGTAAGTACATATTAAGTAATAACAAAATAAAAACAAGTAAGAAAGTCTAAGTTCGGGCCGAGCGAACATTAAATACCCGGCGCAAATATTATATATATGTTTTTTCACCTTTCCGAAACCTACCGCTAGATGGTAAGCCGGGGTGTATCAATTTTGAGTAAATTAGCGTCCTTCAATTTCGAAATATTAAGGTTTCAAGCATTTCTGAAATTTACCGTTATATGAAAAGCGGCCGTAATTTTAGTCCGATTTCAATAATTTTCAATGCTTTGCTTTCATGTGGCAAGCACAATAACCACGCCGAGTTTGGTACAAATTGGTAGAACGGTTACCGAGATACATATATGTGATCATAAGTGGGCGGTGCCCCGCCCATTTTCCAAAATTTTACCATAAACGTATTTCTTGGTAAAGAATTGTCGCAAACATCAATTTTGAATAAATTAGCTTCAATATTTACTGATTTATCGAAGATTTTGTATTTCCTAAGATAAACACATGTAACCATAAGTGGGCGTGGCTACGCCCATTTTCCAAAAATTTATAATATTCTAATTTTTCGTCTAAAAATTGTTGTAAATATCAATTTTGAGTGAATAATCTTCAGTAGTTACTAAAATATCGCAGTTTTCGTATTTCCGAAAATTACCGTTATATGGGAAGTGGGCGTGGTTATTGTCCGATTTTTTAAATTTTAGGCCATTTAGTATGCTGTGTCAAGACCAACAACTGTGCCAAGTTTGGCAGAAATTGGTGTAGCGGTTACCAAGATATACACATGTAACCATAAGTGGGCGTGGCTACGCCCATTTTCCAAAAATTTATAATATTCTTATTTTTCGTTTGAAAATTATTGTAAATATCAATTTTGAGTGAATTATCTTCAGTAGTTACTAAAATATCGCAGTTTTCGTATTTCTGGAAATTACCGTTATATGGGAAGCGGGCGTGGGTACAGTCCGATTTCGCCCATTTTCAATACCAACCTACCTTGGATAAAGGGAAACCTACATACCAAATTTCGTTGAGATATCTCAATTTTTGCTCGAGTTATCGTGTACACGGACGGACGGACAGACGGACAGACGGACGGACAGACAGACATGGCTTAATCGATTTATTTTTTCATCCTGATCATTTATGTATACATTTGTCTATATCTATCTCGATTCGTTTTGGCTGTTACAAACAACCGTTATGTGAACAAAATTAATATACCCTTGTGCACAAGT